GAATGCCAGATTTGCATAAATATTTATAATTTTAACATGAGAAATACATTTTCATAAGGTCTTATTCTGACAACTGGGTGAATAAGCACCTGAAAAATACCCATTAAATTTATCCAGGATTTGGTTTTCTCTTTGTGTGTCTTCTGGTATACATGATTAACCTAGAAACGATACACACGATTAACTTAGAAATTAGGGGAGGATAACCTCATATTTCTTTTGCATACTTTCACGGGGGACAATTATGAGACCTTATCACTTCTGATGGAGACAAAATTGCTCCTACCAGTACAGGCTAGGTTTAAAAAGAAAGAAAACCAACAAAAAGATGCTGAAGCCCACAGGTGATGAATTGCCCTGCATTGTTAATACATTATTGTTGATTCTTCTTTCTTTTTCTTTTAGCTTGCAAACGTCCTAGAGATTGATTTATCTTTAGTAAAGGTATGTGTGTATAATTCATCTGGTGATGTGCAAAGTTCACTGTCTTGCAACAGTTTTATGTATCAGTTGCTTATTACATGTATGTGTGTTTCTTCAGAATGCTGTGTCCATGTATTGTCGGTTAGGCTTTGCTCATAAAAAAGGCCAAGTAATAAACCTGGATAATCTTCATCCATCATGGAAGAACGTTCCCTCAGTAAACAGACTGAAGTAAGTGTCTCAGTTCTTTCATAAGCTTTTTTTTCCTCATTGAAGGGAAAGCTAGAACCAAAATCTGATTGGAAAGCTCTAGAACCAAGACCTGATTGTAAAGCTATTGGTTGCTTTCTTTGATTTCTGCAACAGCACATCTCACTTGGCTTTCTAATGACAAGAATGCTTGAACCTCTTTTTAATCTGAGGATAAGGGGCGGTACTCTACCCTGTAAGTTCAATGTACTGCTTTTCTTGCTGTTACTTAGTGCTGGCTTTTTGACCTTTAAACGCCTAGTTGCTCACCTTTGAATTGTGTATTTTCTGGCCCCAGGAGTTTAAAGCAATAACTGCTGTTACAGAAACAATGTCTCTTGGCACTGCTGTCAGTGGATGTCAGAACATAAAGTTTGCCTGCTTACTGTCAGGTATCATTGTAGTTCTGTCACTGACACTCGCATAAATGTACAGCTATATCAAATCCTGGGGAAATGATGTTAATACCACTCAGCAAAGGGCTCTCCAAGTTGGAATGCCAAGTTGCATTAATTAAGAATTGTCAGGGATTTTTAGTTCAATATCTATTAAGCCACATAAAACTCCTGCTATGCCTGAGTTTTCTTTAATGCCAATTCTGACTGAGAACAAAGTGAATTAATCATTTCCATTGGATTCTTCTTCAGAGGATGGTTTGACTTTTCCAGGTTTGTCTTTCAAAATCTGGTCTTTTCAAACCCCCAAATAGACTTCCCTGCTGAAGCCGGAGCAGGACTCAGGGACATCAAGCTTGACAGATTTAGGGCTTTAGAAGTATTGAAAGGCACGTGTCGGGTATGCCTTTGCGTGGACTACTAGCACTGGAAGGCAGAGATACTTCTCTGGTGCTACAGTGATTGCTAGATGTGGATTTTAATTCACATTAATAGGAGTACTTTGGACCCTCAAAAGATGCTGCTTTCATGGGACAGTGGGGAAAACAGAAGTTCTATACAGGAAGCTGGGTCATCAGCCACAGATACAGATACCAACAGTCAAGATGATCCAGGTTAGCACTAACAGTAAATTTGAATACATTAGGATCAGTTATTTTCATATTTCTAGAGTGCTATAGGCTGTAAAGGGTTCTAAAACCAAGTAAAACACAAATTGTGTAGATCCTGTTTTCATACGGAATATACAGTGGGGGAGGTGGTGTCTACTTGTTGGTTTATTTAGCCAAATAATGTTTGTTCTGAAAATGAGGCTGATCTGTATTATGGATATGAATTGACACAAAGATTCAAAGTTCTGAATTAAGTCAGTCAGTAGTTTGGAAGTGATGAGAGAATCCTGTTCTACTCAGTATGGCAGTAACTAATGGGTTTTTTCTTCCACTTTTTAAAATTGATCTGACTTAAACTTGCTGATTTTATTTTTAATTAAAACAAATGTCATCGTATTTTGTTTTTGTTCTCTATTAGCTGAAACAGCCAGCGTGAGCAGCCTGAACCTGTCTAGTGGACACACAAAGCGTATTGCCTTCCTGTTTGATTCTACTCTCACTGCCTTTTTAATGATGGGAAATCTGTCACCAGTAGGTCCAAATTGTTCAATGTATTATGCCGAGAATAAGTATGTAGTGCTATAAAATACTTTGACTCTAATACAGCTGTAATTATTTTTAAACTTATGTATTGTTTATTGTTTAGAAATGGTTTTGCTAAATAAAACTTCTACTTGCCCATTCCATTCTCAGAATTAAGACAGTTTTGTTTTGTTGTTCCAGAACTTGAAAAGTCATGCAGTCACTATGTTTGAAGTTGGGAAACTGTCAGATGAGAGTCTTGACAGCTTCTTGGTGGAGCTGGAAAAGGTAACCTGTTAGATGTTTGACTAAATGCTTTTTCAGCACTTGAAGAGTTAAATTCCCCTGGTATATGCGTTGTGTAAAACTGCTTGCTTAGCGATACAGTGATAAGAACAAGTGCCTTATCGTACCAAACTGGAGTGGTTCAGTTAAAATGTTTCTTACTTACAACGTTGATACCTCTAGTGACTTTCAGGGACACACTGTATATGAATGTGGTGAATCTGGTGAGCAAAGTGAGTCATGAACTACATGTTAATTGCTGTATCATTTTATGTCTGTCAGGGTGACTGGACGTTTAAGTCCCGTTATCTAAAGACTGAGTCAAAGTTCTGATTTATAGCTGTTGTCTTTGGGTACTTGACGATTTGACTAGCATGACTGAGACTCACTTTTCATTTAAAATTGCTGTAGATCTTCTTTGCATATAACCTGTAGGGTTGTAACTTAATTACAAAGCTTTGCAATGCTAATTTGATAGTTTTTCCTTTTGTGTAATTGATGCCTGTGGAAACAACCTGCCACTTGCATGCTTTTATTTCTTTTCTCACTCAGGTTCAAAGCACAGGTGAAGGGGAAGCTCAGCGGTACTTCGATCACGCTCTTACACTGAGAAACACTATACTGTTTTTGCGGCATAACAAAGACCTAGGGGCACAAGCTGTACTGCCTGATCAACCAAGTAATGGTACTGTGAATGCTTTTGAGGAAATCCTTCCAAGTTTGTTTACTTCTCTGCTATGGACTCAGCTTTCTTACTATGCTGCTGTTTCAGACAGAAATCTGTGTCCTACTTTGATTAAAAATATTTTGAAGCCAAAATTTTTTTCATCATCCTTTGCGCCTGCATTGCTGGGTTTGCCTGTTGAATGGCAGATTTGGTTGCCAGGGCTTGAATTTAACATCCTAAGCAACAGGTTGAAGCATAATGATGGTAAGACAAGCTGAACTGGAGGAAGAGGGATCAGTTAGTCTATGAGGAACAAGCTGTAGTTCTGTGCTAGACAACCCTGTGTGGCTGGAATTGCTGAAATTATGTATGGATTTATTAAAATTCACCACAAAAAGTTGTGGAAAGTATTCTATTCATGACTTTGCAGGGGAGAATGGAAAATCTGAAATTGCATTTTAGGTTGTATGTTCCATCCTAAGTGATAATTCAAGAATCTTATATTTTCAACACAGGGTTTCCCTTGGACCTCTTAAGATGTGAGAGTTTGCTCGGCTTGGATCCAGCTACGTGCAGCAGAGTTCTCAACAAAAATTATACTCTGTTGGTTTCCATGGCACCACTCACCAATGAAATTCGGCCTATTAGCAGCTGTACACCCCAGGTGAAAAAAATACTCCCCAGTAAAAAATATCCCCCCCTGCCAAGTATCTAGTAATATCATATCTTCTTAATAGCTTTGTTTTGGATACATCTGTTAATGTCCCTCTTTAAGTGACTGAATTATTGGCATGTAGAATTGTATTGCAGTTCATCTGAAAAAAGTGTTTAGTGAAGAAAAATGTGAATACTTAGTAAATTAAGTTTGATTTATTTACAGTTTATCTGTCTGAGTAGAGTCAATGACAGATACTTTGGTTTTGACTTAATAGAAAATACCTTACTATCACCTTTCTGTAGGGTGTTGCAATACTGGATTAAGTACCTGGAACATTTGAACTCCCATGCTGCATAACTAGATTTGTTTAAAAGTGTTGATTCTTAAATGGTAGTTGTACCTATAACAGTTGCAGTATTAAGTTCTTTCTAATATCTTGAATAATTTCTTTTCAGCATATTGGACCTGCGATACCAGAAGTCAGTTCAGTTTGGTTCAAACTGTATATTTACCATATAACTGGACAAGGACCGCCCTCTCTGTTGCTTTCTAAAGGAACACGTCTTCGAAAACTTCCAGACATTTTTCAGGTAGTGTATGCATGGATTTATTTTCCCTCCCTTCTCCAAATCTTTCGAAGATACTGCTTAGGGATAACAGTTGCATTCATTGTAGAATGCAACATTCTCTGCATTTTCTGTGTAGTATCTTGTTTTGTTTTCTTTCTAGGTTCTGAGAAAGGAATGCTACTTTGCCTCTTCTTGTCACACCATGACTCCAGTGTATTTGATGCCACCCCTTCATTTTTAGTGTAAAATGATATTGTAGTCACTGCAAATTTAAGCTTGTAAGCCCATCCCTAGAATCACAGAATGGTTAGTGTTGGAAGAGACCTTAAAGACCATCTAGTTCCAACCCCCCTGCCATGGGCAGGGACACCTTCCACTAGACCAGGTTGCTCAAAGCCTCGTCCAGCCTGGCCTTGAACACTTCCAGGGATGGGGCATCCACAGCTTCTCTGGGCAACCTGTTCCAGTGCTTATGGAGATGCGTAGGAATTCAATCGTGAAAACTGAGAAACTAGGAAATTACTTCCTAGTCATTGTTGTTGTATTCTGTCCCTCCCCCTTGGATAGATATTTTGGGGATTGATATATCTTTTTTCTCTGACAGTGCTAGTTTATCTAGGTTATATTTTGCTTCGACATTTATGTGGGGATATTCTCATCTCCTGTTTGCTAGGAGGCTGCTGTGACAGGCCCATAGCCCTACAGGAATTGGTGACACATATCTGCTGTTCAAAATAGCATCTTAACTCTGAGGTTGGCAAACTTGTGTCCTTACCAGGAATGTGAACACGAGTGATCCTTGGTGCAAAGTATAACACTTTAGAGTTGTAGCTACCTGTGGTAACTTCCTAATTGTAACAATATGCTAATGCCTGACTCACCTGACTCTAGTATTTCTCTTTGTGCTTGGATAGTCCATTACTGCTGTAAATACTCTTAATTTCTCTCTTCTAGGGTTATGACCGCTTACTAATAACATCTTGGGGTCATGATCCAGGAGTAGTTCCTACTTCAAATGTGCTCACAATGTTGAATGATGCTTTAACACATTCTGCTGTTCTGATTCAGGTACAGTGTGCTCTGTATAAATGATGAAAACGTATGATTTTCTCAGTTAAGCTGTTGTGTGGTAGAGGAGATTATTGTTGTAGGAGATGTAGGAGCTCTTTTGCCAAGAGCTGAAAAATAGGTTTAACTTCTGTATCCAGTACTGCTATGAATCAGTAGTGGTTAAGACATGGGTTTTGAACTGTATTGTGTATGCATTATTGTATTATGGGCAGACATAATAGAGTTTTGCTAGCTAAAAATGAGATGTGGATTTATGAGAGTGTTGGGGTTATAGGAAACTCAAACAAAAGTGAAGAGCCCACAAGCATTTTTGACAGCAGTGGTGTAAGGTAACTGAAATTATGAACTGTTATTCAAGAAATGCCAAATGAAAAATTTCAAAGAAATTTTTCACAGTGCTTGGTATTTAACTCTCAGTAGGCAAAACATGCTCTTATCACAAACAGCAGAAACAGAGGGTTTGTCTGTTTGGGAGAAGTAAGATAGCTTCCTCCTCTCTTTCTCTATTCAGTGGAACTCTCAGAATCAATCATTCAAATAGATGTTTAATATTGTAACAAACATAAAACTACACATTCTCAAAGGCCCACTTGTGACAGCCTTGACTGCCCAAAAATGTTCTGTGCTTAGGGGTGGAAACTCCACTTTGCTCTGGAAGTGCTCAGTGATTAGGAAATCCATTTATAATCAGTAATTGGAGGGGAAAAAATTGCTCCTCTTCACTGAAGTTTAACTTCATTGTGTTTACTCACATGTATTTTAGGGGGAAGGGTGGGGTGTTTTATTTAATTCCTTATTTCAGCTAAGCAAGAACTTTATAAGTATCTCAATCTGCTTATTTGTTTCATTAACTGACTGGTACTCCTTAAAAGGGAGCACAGGTAAGACTAGGCTAAGCTGATGAGTGTATTTTTCTGTTCCTAACTTAATTTCTTGATGTTCAGGGTCATGGCCTGCACGGAATGGGGGAAACAGTGCACATACCTTTCCCGTTTGATGAAGCTGAGCAACAGGGAGGTAAATAACTGTCTCTAATCTCTGCACCATCGGATTTTAATTTTCTTGCACATTACCTTGTGCATTAGGGTTGCAATAATCCTTTCAATACAAATTTTCTTGGATTTATGAGTCAAGTTAAGTGAGAAAATTGAAGGCATATTTAAATGGTTGACAAGTCTGTTCTGAACTTAGAAAGGAGAAGACCGTATCTGTCTTCTCTGTTCTAATTAGAATGTGTTTTCTGGCCTCTCTTCTCTCCTACCACATATGTAAAGAAGTAACTTCCACGAACACCTCTGAATCTTTGTTTTTGAATACTTGCTTATTAACTAGCATATTTATTAATGGCATAAATAAGTCTTCCATACGTTCTAGTTAGCATCTCCTAACTGTAAGACAGGTGAGACCAAAACTGAACAAATTTATCTTGATTAGTAGCACTCAGAACTATTATGGAGATTTTCTTCCCAGGAAGAGCTTTGCTAGCAAAATCTCCTGTTCCTTCAAAGTTTGCCTAGCTCTACTGATTTTGAGAGGCAGGAATTAACATATTCTGAAATACTTCTTGATGAGTAGGACACAAGCTTTCCATAGTTGAGGCCATACCCTCCCCAGCTGAGAGCTGTGATAAAAGTATGAATTTCCAGATATGAAATCTAAAATTATTTAAGATATCACTTAGAAAAATCTGGGCCAACCAGAAGTAAAGCTAACTTAATAATTTCACTTTTACTAGGCTCAAAAACTTCTATATTGGCTCTCTCCGGGATGTCTGTTTTCTTCTGACAATGCTAGATGAAAAATCTTGAAGGCAGAGTCTCTAAGTTCTAGCATGAACAACTCAATGTTGAAACTCCTTGTTAACCTCTTATACTGTATTCTAATTCTTCAGAACTTCAGATATGTGGAACGTGTCTTGCATTGAATTTGCCATAAAAGACTCTGGCACTGAAAAAAGCTGGACTTCTGATTCCTAGCTGAACCTTGCCATCTCTGCTGTCTGTATGTGCCTTTGTGTGAGAGATCGATCCTCTTCTGTTTGTTTTTTCTTTCCCCTTGGCTCTTGTACTACAAAATACCAGGTAGTGCTAGGCGGTGAAAGACTGATCACTTGTGTTGTTATCCCAGATATACCAATGTAATCGCTAAGATGGAGCACTGAAAGAGAGACAAATCCAGATGAAAAATGTGGCCTGGCCTAGAGGTGAACCATGTGGTTATGGATGAGGCTTCTTGTAAAATAACCTGGAATATGTGTTGTTTTCTTCTAGACTTCTCTCGTGTGAACATGGGCATTCATACCGCTTTAAAAATACTGAGAAACAAAGTAGACCTGCAGCATTTTTGTGGCTATGTCACTATGTTGAATCCTTCAAGTTGGCACGCTAACAGAAAGCTGAGCGATGCTTCTGATGGAAGAGGTTGGTTGCCAATAATTGTCTTTTTTGGCTGTGTTCCCCTAATTTTGCATACAGTCACTTTAGCAAAGGTGAACAAAGGATTAAATTCTTTGATTTGGAAATCTACAAGTACTATCCAACACAGATAGGAAGTCATTTTGAGTGTGAATCTATTGTCAGTAGGCTTACTTCCTAATTCTTCTTTGTGAATAGCTCAGAAACAGCAAATACAGACTGAAAACTCACTGAACTAGAACAGTTAACAGAAGAAAAAGAGTAATTTCTGAATATTAGAAGTAAATTGTGTAACTTTTTTAATGCCAGAACTTACAGAATATTAAGTGTGAGGATCTCTAAGTGACTCTTCAGTACAAAAATGAGTCGGGTCCGATATTTCTCCATGTCCTTTCCTCCAGTTTTATAGTTGTATGATCTTTGGGCAAAGCTTGTGTCATGTTCCTTATGTCAGGTGGTGACTAAACTTAGTTCTTCTACATGTTTATGTAAGAATTCCTTTACTTTTAGGAGAGGCTGAACTAGTATCAGGATCTGATGTAAACGGGAGCACAGAATCATTTGAGATGGTAATAGAAGAAACCTCAGTGGATTCTGCAGCCAAGCAAAGCCTTGAAGGTAAAAAGATGACAAATTTGATTATTTTCTGGGACAAGTGCAATGTGAACTGTTCTTCCTCCTTACCATTCAGATTCTTAAATCTTTGAGCAGTTCAGTAAATGACCTGTCTTAAAAAGTATGAACGATCCAGTGGATCCTGAGCTTAGATAACTGGTTCTGGGATCAATATTCTTGCTCTGTCTCTTCTGAAAATTTGTTTGTCTCTTGGTTTTATTTCTGTAGTACCCACAACAGAACTGGAATGGGTTCCCCTGGAATTATGCTTTGGCATTCCACTCTTCAGCTCGGAGTTGAATCAGAAGGTCTGCAGAAAAATTGCCGCTCATGGATTATGCAGGAAAGAAAGGTGGGCTGTAATCGATCTGCTACAAGATTAACAGGTTGTATGTGTTATATCCTGAGCATCTGCAAAAAAAAGCTGCCTCCAAATTGATGACTATAAGAGCAGAACTGAGCTAAGTTTCCTAGAGCGCCTAATTCTAGTGCATAAGTTGGTTGCTTTTTGGCTCATAGATACCAGCTATAATGTATGATCTAGTAGTCCTTAGTTGTGGCAAGATTAAGAGTAGGCTGTTTTTATAGTTTCTGCAAGGTGAAAATTAATTCTTTGTAGTAAAATGTCTATGAACAGATCAGGAAAAAAAGTCAGTCTGGGTGCCTACCTACTCATTTCCCCCTCCTAGCCTGGCACAGGTTTTCTTGCCTCTTCCTGACTGTTTTGAGGGGGGAAAGCTTACTGGTGATGCTTTGCTGCAAAATGCGTTTAGCTCTTGTGGAAATGTTCTTTACTATTGGTATCTTGTTTGCTAAGTTTAGTCATGGCATAGGATCAAGTTATCTTCTGCTTTTTACTGTAGCTTTTCTTTATGAAAAGTTACTTTTTCAACAGTGAGATTTCTGGGTTTCTTTCTTTTGTTCGGAGAGTTGTTTGTTTCATCTGGTTCTGGAGAGCAAAAATAAGGCTGCTTGAAAACATGGCTTAAGGATTTTATTATAGTAGTTGACCTGCTTTATAAGTGTGTCACTAATTTGCTTCATAAAAGTCATGTTACCAGACTGTCCTAAATAAGAATGAGACACAATAAAGTATAATATATTAATATATTATGTAAAGTAGCATTTTTTCAATTGCAGTAGTGTCACTTTAGTGCAGAGTAAATGGTAGGGAAAATAGCATTTAGCTATAGGCTGGAGCAGGCGAGGTGAGTTGAGCACCTCTTCAGTGATGACAGTATTATCAAGCTTTCTGTGTGAGAGCTTCTCACTTTGTCCCAGGCTGGAGAGGTGGGCCACTG